GACGTCGTGAACGGTATGCCCAATGGTGTGTACAGGAAGTCGACAGATTCGGGGGCGGAAGTTGAACCTTTTGGAATTTGATATATATTTTTGAACTTCTATACAAATTTGAATATTGTCACTATACGGAAGATCTACACTTCCATTTAATAGTACGTCTAGGTTTGTGGGGTGCTTTCTGTGGGAACAACCGTTCCCGACTTCTGGACATCCGTGGAAACCTCACAGCTGCTGCTTACCGCGACCAGGTGCTCACCCCTGAACTCGTTCCTTTCATGGCGGCTCATGGCCCAGGTCTACAGTTCCAGCATGATAATGCTCGGCCGCTTATCGCGATGTTGACACGAAATTTCCTTCAAAACGCTGGAATCAACGTCATGGACTGGCCATCGAGGTCCCCTGACCTTAATCCAATAGAACACGTTTGGGATGCACTTGGGAGAAGGCTTCGTGGTCTTAGGAACCAACCTCAGAATTTGCAGGAACTTGGCGCTGCCTTGCAAAAGCAATGGCGCAGAATCCCCAACCACGTGTTCACAAGCATCAGGCAGTCGATGAGGAGACGGTGTTTGGCAGTGGTGAATGCACGGGGCGGCCATACACGATATTGAACTGAGAACTTTCGCATTTTTATTCTTGTGACTTGACATTCTGTATACCCATGTTTTGGAACGGCGGTGTAGCCTAATGGAACTGATTATGGCACTGTCAGTGTATCGAGTACATCACACTGATCTCAGCAATGAAATAATAACAATTTAACCATCGTTCCATCTCTTGTTCTTTTATAGTGCCCTGAAGAAAGAATGTGAAGTTTCTTTTTTGACTCAGTATATATTCAGAAACTAAGCGTTAGTCTAATAGAAGACATACACAAGCACAACAGAAAACAGGTCAATAAATGTCATCTACGAATGCGAGTAACAGAATGTAGAAAGGGACATAGGCCATGAATTATGAGCCTCACAGTCCTTGAACCGCATTAGTTTCCCTTTGCCCAGCACTTTCTGCAAGGCTAAAACCCTTTATGAAGCGAACGCCAGATCTCTTCAGGTTCTGAATCACCCATCTCATTGGGTCTCCTTTTCAGTATAAATGGAATTAATTATTTCTACCAATATTATATCTTTTCAGAGACTAATCGCTAGCCTACTGTAGATGTGAATGAAATTCCATGAGGCTAAGGGGCGATGGGGTAGCCTAGAGGTAAAAGCGTTGGCTAGTCCCGCTTGATTTAAACATATTCAAGAGAATGGATTGGGTACAAGTTATACCAACTTAGTGAAACCCTCTCCTATTTACAGTGCTTACATGCAAAAGTGAAACAAACTATATGTACAGGGATAGAAAGATATATACAAAATGATATATACAATACAATGAATACATGAATTATTTAGATCATACACATTATATCCAATCACTGAACCTTTTGGAATTTGATATATATTTTTGAACTTCTATACAAATTTGAATATTGTCACTATAAGGAAGATCTACACTTCCATTTAATAGTACGTCTAGGTTTGTTGGTGCTTTAATGTTACAAATTCTGCTCATATTTTGAAACATTTCCTGTCTGGTAACAGAATACAAAGAACATTCCATAAAATAATGTTGAGAATTTTCACAGGTAAATTTACAGTTACATTCGGGGTTCTCTATGAGACCGATCCTATATAGATCACCATTTAATCTACTATTTGAATATCTTAGCTGGGTATGAATTACATTGAGTTTTCTATTACCAAATGAGAAATATCCTCGTGCTTTTGACTTACGCGAGCTTATATGCGATTTAAAACTTTTAAGGGAAACTGATTCTCTAACATATAAAGGGAGATTATTCCAAAGTTGTGCAGATGATGGGGAAAATGATTGACTGTAGAGATTTGTGCGGGAATAGTACAGGGAAAGATCACGAATGTTTCTAAGATTATAATTTGTCCTAGATTCAACAGTTTGAGGCATAAGATCACAAAGGTAGGATGGAGCATTTTTGTTGTAGATATTATAGAATAAAGACAGTTTACGACATCTTCTTCTTTCTTTTAACATTTGCCAACCTGTTTCATATATCAGAGTATCTCTAGTAGCATATTTTGGTAAACCCGTAACTATCCTGGCGGACTCAAACTGAACTTTTTCAATTTTATCGGTTAAAGCTACCGAACAACCATCCCACAATTCACAAGCATATTCTAGATGTGGTCTTATGAATACAATATAAATCTTATTAAGAGTGTCTCTGTTTAACATAAACTTTAATTTTCTCATTGATGAAACCATCAAGGACGTTGTTTTTACAATGTTATCAATATGTGTGTTCCATTTACAATCAGAAGAAAATGTTACTCCAAGATGTTTATGAGATTTTTCCAAACGTACACACTGAGTTTTAAATTCTAAATTTAGAATTGTATTATTATTCTTAAGACTGAAAAGTATAGCTTCTGTTTTGTTGGGATTGTATGTCACAAGCCAACGTTTTGCCCAGCACGATAAATATTGTAGGTTCTTATTGAGTGTCTCTTGCATAAGCCTGTGATTGATAGATGAAAATCCCATTGATGTATCATCTGCGAACAAGCGTGCAGCACAATCTAGTTCATCGACAATATCATTAACATATACTATAAACAGAAAGGGGCCCAGGACTGATCCCTGGGGTACCCCGGCTGCAAGAGATTTGGGATTTGATAATGAACCATTTAAACACACCTTTTGAGTCCTGCCACTGATGTAACAGTGTATCCATTTAAGTAATTCTTCACCTATACCGTAGCTTATTAGTTTATGC